ATACGTCTAACATATCGTATTGCGACAGTCCTCTGAAATACATCTGCTAACATGTCATACGGCGACAGTCCTCTGAAATATGTCTAACATGTCGTATGGTGACAGTCCTCTGAAATACGTCTAACATGTCATACGGCGACAGTCCTCTGAAATACGTCTAACACATCGTATTGCGACAGTCCTCTGAAATACATCTGCTAACATGTCATACGGCGACAGTCCTCTGACATACGTCTAACATATCGTATGGCGACAGTCCTCTGAAATACATCTGCTAACATGTCATACAGCGACAGTCCTCTGAAATATGTCTACCATGGCGTACAGCGACAGTCCTCTGAAATATGTCCAACATGTCGTACGGCGACAGTCCTCTGAAATACATCTGCTTACATGTCGTATGTTGATCGTTCACAGTGTTCAGTTTATCAGTTCCTTTTCTTTTTGTCAGGTAAATAAAAATTCAAGTTCCAACAGTTAGATGAACATTAATGTGACTCTTAAAAAGCTGATGGAACGTCGCTGCCACTGGCATTTAAATTCTCCACAGAGTGACAGTCAGCTGATCAAGGTCATGTTGTATCGATGTCAGCAGCAATGTTGCTCAGTTGCTCGTTGGTCAGTTGATGAACTCGGCAGACAGGCTATGGGTGCAGCGGGCGGAGCGCACCTTGAGCTCGTGGTAGCACTGGATAAAGCTGTGGTAGATGAAGGTGATCGGCAGCGCCAGCAACACAATGCCGCTCACCACGCAGAGGCCACCCAGCACACGGCCCGCCACCGTCACTGGGTACATGTCCCCGTATCCCACTGTCGTCATGGAGATGATCACCCACCAGCAGGCAGCGGGGATGCTGGCATAGTCCTGGTTTCCGGTCTCCAGGTCCAGGCCATGCTCCAGCAGCTGGGCCAGTGCACTGAAGATCGCCATGGCAACACAGATGAAGATCAGCAGCATCATCATCTCGCGATAGCAGCGTCGCAGCGTCAGTCCAAGCGTCTGCAGGCCTAGGAAGTGACGAGCCAGTTTGATCACCCAGAAGATTCGCATGATGCGCAGGACGCGCAGTGTGACGCCGGCCCGCTGCAGCTGGGAGTTCTCCCCCGTCAGGATCGTCATGGTAACAGAGACATAGTACGGCGTGATAGCCAGCAGGTCGATGATGTTCAGAGGACAACGGACAAACTCACATTTGTCCCGAGACACAAGGAAACGGATGATACACTCCGCTGTGAACCAACCAATACACACCGCCTCAATGATCCTGCAGTGAAAGACAGACAGAGGACCAATGAAAGAAAGGGGACAGAGACAGAGGACCAATCAGAGACAGGAGACAGACAGAGGACCAATCAGAGATGTGGAACAGAGACAGAGGACCAATCAGAGAGAGGACAGACGGAGGACCAGTCAGAGACAGGAGACAGACAGAGGACCAATCAGAGATGTGGAACAGAGATAGAGGACCAATTGGAGACAGGGGACAGACAGAGGACCAATCAGGGAGAAGACAGAGACAGAAGACCAATCAGAGAGAAGATAGACAGAGGATCAATCAGAGAGAAGATAGACAGAGGATCAATCAGAGAGAAGACAGAGACAGAGGACCAATCAGAGAGAGGATAGACAGAGGATCAATCAGAGAGAAGACAGAGACAGAGAACCAATCAGAGAGAAGACAGACAGACAGAGGACCAATCAGAGACATGGAACAGAGACAGAGGACCAATCAGAGAGAAGACAGAGACAGAAGACCAATCAGAGACAGGAGACAGACAGAGGACCAATCAGAGAGAAGACAGAGACAGAGGACCAATTAGAGAGAGGATAGACAGAGGACCAATCAGAGAGAAGACAGACAGACAGAGGACCAATCAGAGACGTGGAACAGAGACAGAGGACCAATCAGAGAGAAGACAGACAGACAGAGGACCAATCAGAGACATGGAACAGAGACAGAGACCAATCAAAGAGAGGGGACAGAGACAGAGGACCAATCAGAGACATGGAACAGAGACAGAGGACAAATCAGAGATGTGGAACAGAGACAGAGGACCGATCAGAGACATGGAACAGAGACAGAGGACCAGTCAGAGACATGGAACAGAGACAGAGGACCAATCAGAGAGAAGACAGACAGACAGAGGACCAATCAGAGACATGGAACAGAGACAGAGGACCAATCAGAGAGAAGACAGACAGACAGAGGACCAATCAGAGACATGGAACAGAAACAGAGGACCAATCAGAGAGAAGACAGACAGACAGAGGACCAATCAGAGACATGGAACAGAGACAGAGGACCAATCAGAGAGAAGACAGACAGACAGAGGACCAATCAGAGACATGGAACAGAGACAGAGGACCAATCAGAGAGAAGACAGACAGACAGAGGACCAATCAGAGACATGGAACAGAAACAGAGGACCAATCAGAGACGTGGAACAGAGACAGAGAACCAATCAGAGATGTGGAACAGAGACAGAGGACCAATCAGAGACATGGAACAGAGACAGAGACCAATCAAAGAGAGGGGACAGAGACAGAGGACCAATCAGAGACATGGAACAGAGACAGAGGACCAATCAGAGAGAGGGGACAGACAGGGTGACCAATCACACAGAGGACAGAATATAAACAGAGAACATACTGACTCTCAGTCTGCACCCTCAGGTGTCCCCAGTCCTACCTGTGCTGGTCCAGGGTCTCAGCGGTCTTCCAGTCTGGTAAGGTGCTGGCACACAGCATCACCATGGAAATGATGACAAACAGCATGGACACTGAGGCGAGGACCTGTGCCACCAGGGAGGACGTGGGCTCCTCGAATGTCCTCCGTATCATCTCCAGCCAGTGGCTCTGCGGCTCCTCAGGACATCGGAACTCCTCCTCAGGGAAGAAGTGGACGAAACAGTCAGACATGCGGTCGTCGAGGCGCCGCTGGCAGCAGGGCTGCAGGTCGGAGCTCTCCAGGCCCCAGTACAGCATCTCATTGTAGAAGGACAGCTCACACATGTGCGGGACGAAGCGCAGTTTCCCATGCTGCACATACAGCATGATGAAACTGAAGGCCTCCGAGTGGCGGTCGAAGAAGAACTCGTTTCTGTCGCGGTCATAGTCGTCACAGAGCTCCAGCAGTTCGCTCTCCGACACACAGCGGTGCAGCCGGCTGAGCCTGCTCAGGGGGAGGCGCTTCATCAGCTCCGCAGAGAAGGAAAACCGCCGCCCGCCGACATTCAGGGTGCAAAGACTGTTGCCGAACTTCATCCTTGTTTTCTTACAAACTCAGACGGTGTCTAGACTCCGTCTTCTGTTAGAAACTCCGCCTGAATCTGGACTCCATCCTTTGTTATAAACTCAAGACCTCCAGCTGCGTCCGGACTCTGTCTTCCGTCTGAAGCAGTTTCGTCTCACCAATTTCCTGTTTTCAATTGTGTACAGTAACTCTTTGCCTTTGGAGCCTGAAAGACATAAAAATGTTTCAGTGACCAAGAACAACAACAACAACAACAATGGGAGGAGTCTTATTTCGGACCTACATAGACTTTAAATGATCTCTTACATGTTTTAATGTTCCTGAAGACGTCATCCTGTGACATCAGCGACAGACAGACAGATCTAGGATAAGACACCCGGAAAGATCCAGGATCAACTGTGACCACACACTGTGTGTTTAAATTCACCTGATGAAGCAGCAGCTCATTGTTTCTAAAGTCTCGTTGGAGGATCCTGTCGGACTTCTGCTGTGTTTCCCTCTCTGTTGAATCTGAGACTGAAAAGCAGAAGCAGCTCCTCCTCCTCCTCCTCCTCTTCCTAAGGTTGGAGAGGAGGAGGATCAGAGTCGATGATTCAGGCAGCAGTCGGTCAGAGCTGCAGAGCATCTGAATCTCCACAAACCTGCCCAGTGTCTGACAGACTGAAGACAGTTGCTCGTTTTCACCGTTGTCCTCCTCCTCTTCCTCAGATCTGACACCCCCCCCCCCCCCCCCCCCCCCCCCCCCCACCCCCCCCCCCCCCCCCCCAATCAGAATCAGAATTAAACATGTTGCTGTGATGTTTCTGTGAGGATGAGGAGCAGATATGAATAATGGTTCAGATGTTACTGATGAAGAGGCAGCAGCAGGTTTCCGTGAGGAAACGTCTCCCTCTGCTGGATGACTCAGTGAACTGAAGATCATCAAAACAGGAAGTAGATACTCACAACGTATAAAAGTCAGGAGGAGATTTAAATCACCTTCACACTGTCAGCAGATAAAGGGCACTAACACACCTCATGTTAAAACACAAGGAGGGAAACGTGTTTTAACTCTTTATGATGCAGCCTGACACTTAATAATCAGAGGTGATGTGCGAGCAGAACTTCATACAGACAAGTTCTGGACCATAGAAATAGTTTATTATTGACGTGCATCAGACAGGCTCCGCCCCCTTCATGGATTCATCATGTTTTATCTGCTCTGTGAGAATGTGGAACAATGATGAGCTGAGAAACATATCTGAAGTTGAAAAGTAGCTCAGAGAGTTCAGGAGTAGAAAACAAACGTTCCTCACTGAACAGCTGAGACTCGTATTATCATCTGAGGGTGAAGAACACAACAGAGTGATGTCATCATGATGTCATGATGTTCAAATAAAGTACTGTCACATTATCCATACATGATGCCTGAGGACAGTCAGGTGGTAAGATCATTCTGCACAGTGAGAACTTTTACTGCTGGGACTTAAAGTTCATTGTGATGATACTTCACTGATTTAAAACACACAATATTTATAGAGTTTGTCAAAGATCTGAGAACACTGACAAATTTCAGCTCAGCGTCAGAGTTTAAACGTCATTTATAACTGTGGAGTTTACATGTTATAGTGGTCCAGTAGAATTTACCTGAAACACATCTTGGAGTCACTCAGAGGAAACTGACACATTAGCTTCTAATCTGCAGTTAGGAACAACAGAAACATTTAACAAAGGGAATGTTACTAAATTCAGCTTCGTTATAACTCACAAGTATCAACGATAAAACAGCTGTCTCATACGAGGAATATTTCCCCACAAGAACAACATGTTAACGTTATTAGCACAAGCCTATGGTATTATACATTGTATAATTTAGCCCAGCAGCGAGCAGAGTTTTGTGGAGAACAGCTGTAGAAAAGCTGGAGAACATGTGGAGAACATGAGTAGGACAGCTGGAGAACAAGTGTAAAACAGCTGGAGAACATGTGGAGAACTTGTGTAGGACAGCTGGAGAACATGTGGAGAACATCAATCAATCAATCAATCAATTTTATTTATAAAGCCCAATATCAAAAATCACAGTTTACCTCACAGGGCTTTACAGCATACAACATCTCTCTGTCCTTAGGACCCTCACAGCTGATCAGGAAAAACTTCCCAAAAAAACCCTTTAACGGGGGAAAAAAACGGTAGAAACCTCAGGAAGAGCAACTGAGGAGGGATCCCTCTTCCAGGACGGACAGACGTGCAATAGATGTCGTACAGAACAGATCAGCATAATAAATTAACAGTAATCTGTATGACACAATGAGACAGAGACAGAGAGACAGAGACAGAGACAGAGAGAGAGAGAGAGATGCAGGACAGGCGGTAATGACAGTATCTTACAACATTAATGAAAGTAATGATTTTATAATTATAGTTCTGGCTGCTGTGGTACAATATCTTGAAAGTATGTATTAATATCTGACAGTATAGTTGTGTGACAATAGTCATATGTGTATAATAACAGTAGAAGTATGACTAATGACTAATGATGGCAGCAGCAGCAGGAGGCATCTGGCAGGACCACGGCAGCAGCACAACCACACACGTCACGCTGTCCAGGCACCGCTGTGATATGAGTTAATCTGAGAGACAGTGGAGCACAAAGGCTCCGGAGAAGAAGCCGAGTTAGTGACATCCAGAATGGCCGAGTTAGCAAGATGCAGTAATAGGATGAGAGTGAGAGAGAGAGAGAGAGAGAGAGAGAGAGAGAGAGAGAGGGAGAGAGAGGGAGCCCGGTGTATTATAGGGGGTCCTCCGGCAGACTAGGCCTAAGTCAGCCTAACTAGGGGCTGGTACAGGGCAAGCCTGAGCCAGCCCTAACTATAAGCTTTATCAAAGAGGAAAGTCTTAAGTCTAGTCTTAAATGTGGAGACGGTGTCTGCCTCCCGGACCGTAACAGGAAGATGATTCCACAGGAGAGGAGCCTGATAGCTGAAGGCTCTGGCTCCTGATCTACTTTTGGAGACTTTAGGGACCACGAGTAACCCTGCGTTCTCAGAGCGCAGTGTTCTGGTGGGATAATATGGCACTATGAGCTCTCTAAGATATGACGGAGCTTGACCATTTAGAGCTTTATAAGTTAACAGTAGGATTTTAAATTCAATTCTGGATTTTACAGGGAGCCAGTGCAGAGAAGCTAAAACAGGAGAAATATGATCTCGTTTCTTAGTTCCTGTTAGTACACGTGCTGCTGCATTCTGAATTAGCTGGAGAGTTTTTAAGGACTTACTAGAGCTACCTGATAATAGAGAGTTACAGTAATCCAGCCTTGAGGTAACAAAAGCGTGGACCAATTTTTCTGCATCTTTTCGGGTCAGGATAGGCCTAATTTTCGCAATATTACGCAGATGAAAAAATGCAGTCCGTGAGGTTTGCTTTAAATGAGAATTAAAAGACAAATCTTGATCAAATATTACTCCGAGGTTTCTTACGGTAGTGCTAGAGGCCAGAGCAATGCCATCTAGAGAAACTATGTCATCAGATAAAGAGTCTCTGAGTTGTTTGGGGCCAAGAACAATAACTTCAGTTTTGTCTGAATTTAACATCAGGAAATTGGTGCTCATCCAATTTTTTATGTCTTTAAGGCAGTTATGGAGTTTAGTTAATTGATTACTTTCTTCTGGCTTCATCGATAAATACAACTGTGTATCATCCGCATAACAATGGAAATTTATAGAGTGATTTCTAATGATGTTACCTAAAGGAAGCATATATAGAGTAAATAGGATTGGTCCGAGCACAGAACCTTGCGGAACTCCAAAACAAACTTTGGTACGTAAGGATGATTCATTACGAACGTCAACAAATTGAAAACGATCAGATAAATAAGATTTAAACCAGCTTAGTGCTGAACCTTTTAGGCCAATTAAGTGATCCAGTCTCTGCAGTAGAATTTGATGGTCAATTGTGTCAAACGCCGCACTAAGATCTAATAAAACAAGAACAGAGACGAGTCCTTTGTCTGAAGCAATCAGAAGGTCATTTGTAATTTTAACTAGAGCTGTCTCAGTGCTATGATGCACTCTAAATCCTGACTGAAATTCCTCAAATAAATTATTATCCTGGAGAAAATCACACAGCTGGTCTGCGACTACTTTCTCAAGGATCTTTGACATAAAGGGAAGATTAGATATTGGTCTATAGTTGGCTAACACCTCTGGATCCAGGGTGGGCTTTTTTAGGAGAGGTTTAATTACAGCTACCTTAAAAGACTGTGGTACATAGCCTGTTAATAGGGATATATTGATCATATCTAATATATGAGTGTTAACTAAAGGAAAGACCTCCTTAAGTAGCCTAGTTGGGATGGGGTCTAAGAGACACGTTGATGATTTAGATGAAGAAATCACTGCGGTCAATTCTTGAAGAGAAATTGGGGAGAAGCAATCTAAATATATATTAGATTCTACAGCTGTGTTTGAGGTTAGATAGGTAGGCCTACCATCTGAGGGCAGGAGGTCATGAATTTTGCCTCTAATAGTTAGAATTTTGTCATTAAAAAAGCTCATAAAATCATTACTGCTAAGGGCTAAAGGAATACAAGGCTCAATAGAGCTTTGACTCTCAGTCAGCCTGGCTACAGTGCTGAAAAGAAACCTGGGGTTGTTCTTGTTTTCTTCTATTAATGCTGAGTAATAGTTTGCTCTGGCATTGCGGAGGCCCCTCTTATAAGTTTTGAGACTGTCTGTCCAGATTAAACGAGATTCTTCCAGTTTGGTTAATCGCCAATTCCTTTCAAATTTTCGCGATATTTGTTTTAACCTACGGGTTTGAGAGTTATACCAAGGAGCAAACTTTCTTTGCTTTGTTAACTTCTTTTTAAGAGGAGCTACAGAGTCGAGCGTTGTTCGCAGCGAGCCTACGGCGCTATCAACAAAATGATCAATTTGGGAGAGGTTAAAGTCGGCACGGGAAACCTCTGTTACTGAAGGTATTGGTATTGAATTTAACGACGAAGTAATCTTTTCCTTAAATTTTGTGACAGCACTATCTGATAAACATCTAGTATAGTAACTGTTGCTGAGTGGCGTGTAATCGAGTAAAAAGAAATCAAAAGTAATCAGATAATGATCTGATAGCAAGGGATTCTGTGGAAAGACTTTTAGGTTATCAATTTCAATTCCATACGTCAGAACTAGATCGAGGGTATGGTTAAAACAGTGAGTGGGTTCATGTACACCCTGACTGAAGCCAATGGAGTCTATTAATGAGATAAACGCGGTAGCCAGGGAGTCATTATCAACGTCGACATGAATGTTAAAATCGCCTACAATAATAACTTTATCTGATTTAAGAACTAAACTGGATAAAAACTCTGAGAATTCAGATACAAATTCAGAATACGGGCCAGGAGCACGGTACACTATAACAAATAAAAGTGGCTGCGAGGTTTTCCAGGTCGGATGTAAAACACTAAGAACGAGGCTTTCAAATGAATTATAATCTAGTTTAGGTTTAGGGCTGATTAACAGACTAGAGTTAAAAATGGCTGCAACTCCCCCTCCTCGGCCGCTGCCTCGAGGAATGTGGGTATTATTATGACTGGGAGGAGTGGACTCATTTAGACTAACATATTCATCTTGACACAGCCAGGTTTCAGTGAGACTGAGTAAATCA